CCTCCCGGGTTCACACCATTCTCCTGCCTCAGCCTCTTGAGTAGCTGGGACTACAGGCGCCCGCCACCTCGCCCGACTAGTTTTTTTGTATTTTTAGTAGAGACGGGGTTTCACCGTGTTAGCCAGGATGGTCTGGATCTCCTGACCTCGTGATCCGCCTGCCTCGGCCTCCCAAAGTGCTGGGATTACAGGCGTGAGCCACCATGCCCGGCCTATCCTCCAGTTTTTGAGAACCAAGAGCACCCCCCACACACCCCAGGCTTGGCCTCCAGAGCCCCATCCCTCAATAAGCTCCCCTCCCCAAAACAAGCCTGGGCGGGGGTCGGGGGGCTGGGAAACCGGAGTCCAAGTGGCTGCTCAGGGGAGGACAAGGAGCCCACAGCTGGCGGGGTGTGACTTGGGTACCAACGAGTGCCCAGGCTGCCTCTGTTCTTCATTTTAATAACATTCTTGATTTGGGAGTCAGGAATCCCATCGGTTAAATTGCTTTGAAATAATACCACGCTGGTCCCGGCCAGAGCTGCCTGGAGTATTTACAGGATCCGCTGACAATCCATCCCGGTTGGCCTCCCCAGCCCTCCCAGCCCTCTTTCTGTTTAACAAGCCTTTTCCTGCTTATTCTCCAAGGCAGCTACCGCGGCCCGGCCGGCCTCCATCTGTGTCAGTCTGATGTGTTAGAGATCTGGCTGCGGCACCGGCGAGCTGCCAGTTTCATTACTAAGCAGCCTGATTTCAGTCGCTCGGAACTGCCTGGGTGCCCAGTCTGACCCGAGGCGTCTGCTGTGTGAGCGTTTGCTGATGCTCTGAGCCCTCAGGGACGTGTCCGTCACGGCGTTTGGGCAGCTCTGACGTCAGGGAGCTGGAGGGAGATGACACCTCCTTTTTCGTGCTTTGCTGCCTCAAACCTGGCCCAGCTCTGAAATCTGAAAGTCCTCAGGAGTGACCGGCTCGGGGCGGAAGGAAATTCGATCAGGCTCGGGGAGATCTGAGGAGCAGTGGAGAGCCGTATTGATGGCTGCATATTGGGACCCTGAGCACGCACCTTTTCAAAGGCCTAATCCTGGCAGAAGCTCAAGCTCTCCCCTGAGAAGGCAACGGGCAGCGGGAGCCTGTTTCTGAAGGAGGAGGGGAGCTAGAGGGACCAGCAGGCCCAAAGCCCCCTAGGATGCCTGGCTGGCATTGGCCGTCGGCTGGGCCTCTGCCCTAGGGATTGGGGACCTGGGCATACTCAGTGCTCAGTTCCATAAAGGAGCTCCTGAAGGCAGGGGTTGTGTATCTGGGTTCCAGGGCCCCAGCTTTGCCTTAGAGTGCCCCAGCACCCACCTCTGTAAAGCAGAGATCATAGCCACACCTTCCTCCCAGGCTACGACCATCCACCGAGAATAAGCTCAGGCCTGGCACATAGCAGGTGTTCAGCAAGTGCCAGCTGGATGGAGAGCAACAGCACCGAGGCCCAGGCCTGGGCGAGGGCTCCTGCCTCCACTGCGCCTCTCCCGGCCTCCAGCCTCCACTCTCCCCCAGCCCTCCCAAGGGGTCTGTCCCAGCCTCTCATTCACACAGATGTTCCACTGAGCATCTCCTGCCAGGCACCAGCTGCAGAAGCCAAGTCAGCGGGTACAAGGTCACGGTTCTGCCCTCAGGGACCTTAGGGCAAAGGAACACAGGAGATACCGTGCTCGGGGGACCCCAACCCGGTGAGAGGCAGGACAGACGTGGAGGATGGGGAGAGAGCAGGTCTGGCCAGCAGGGTGGCCCTGGAGGAGGGGCAGGGTCCTGGGCCCTGTGTCTGCCTGCTGGGCAGGGCAGGAAATGCAGGGAAGTAGGCCACAGTAGGGGTGGTGGGGAGACCCCAGCAGCCTGTGGGCATGCCCAACCAGGGGCGGGTGGGCTGATGTACAGGTGCCCGGCTGTGCCTCTTCTAAAAGGTTCAGAGGGACCATCCAGAATGACAGCAAGAAGCCCCGGTAGCCCAGACGACAGCCTCCGAGAGGATCCCCCAGGCTCTGCCTCCAGCACTCACTCCCACCCGGGGATGCCTGGAACCAGTGCTGCCACGTACGGAACTCGCCAGACCCCAGCCCTGCCCTGACTTTTCAGGATGCGGCGGGAGGGGCTGTTCCCGCCCCTGTGTCCTGGCTGACGGGATGATGGGCAGTCGAGACTCAGCGTGGGGACTGCGTGCTCTCTGCATGCCCATGTCCCTCCCCAAGCCCAGGCGCCCCACCCTTACAGGGCCGAAGCTCGGACACCGGCCAGAGGCCAGGCGGCTGTGAGCAGCAGAAAGCAGGGTCCGACTACATCTTGTGCCTTTAGTCCCATGACTGTCTGGACCTACCCTCGCTGCCAGCGCCCGACACTATGTCCACACTCGTGCTTGGTGGCGGGTCCACTGACCAGGGTGGCTGCAGCCTTGAGTGTGCCCCCCTATCCAGGCCTCTGGTGCCAAGAGCTGGTCCCTGCACCCACAGTCCTCGGCCCCCTCTTTCCCACTGCCCTCCCAGTCTGGGTGCCAGTTACAGTGACCCCACCATCCCCCCAGGGCTCCTCCTTGGTGCCAATCAATTGGGGTGAGCACACCTGGCCCCCTGCCTTTGCCTCTGCCCAAGAAAGGACACTAAAATTACACATGGCTGGCACTCCTGTCCATGTAGCCCAAATCAACACTCACTTAGAAACGGCAGCAATTGGCCGGGAGTGGTGGCTCACACCTGTAATCCCAGCACTTTGGGAGGCCGAGGCTGGCAGATCACCTGAGGCCAGGAGTTTGAGACCAGCCTGGTCAACATGGTGAAACCCCGTCTCTATTGAAAATGCAAAAATTAGCCAGGCATGGTGGTGGGCACCTGTAATCCCAGCTACTTAGAAGGCTGAGGCGGGAGAATCGCTTGAACCCGGGAGGCAGAGGTTGCAGTGAGCCGAGATCCTGCCACTGCACTCTAACCTGGGTGACGAGAGAGAGACTCTGTCTCAAAAAAATAAAAAAATTAGCTGCAGCAACTGTCGGCCAACACGTGCACTTTGCCGTGTGCAGTGACGGACTGCGGACCCCCCTCTTGAGGCACCAAGACATATCCGTGGTCTGGCCTTGGAGAAGTGACCTGAAGACTGACTATGTCCCAGGGAGATGCAACCGACGTCACCACACTGGCACACACATCCAGACTCCAGACTTAGCTTAATGCAGAAGGACGTGCACTGATATTTTCTTTTTTCTTTTCTTTTCTTTTTTTTTTTTTTTGACACAGAGTCTCACTCTGTCGCCCAGGCTGGGGTGCAGTGGCACGATCTCAGCTCACTGCAACCACCGCCTCCCAGGTTCAAGCAATTCTCCACCTCAGCCTCCCGAGCAGCTGGGATTACAGGCGCCTGCCACCACGCCTGGCTAATTTTTTTGTATTTTTAGTACAGATGGGGTTTCACCATCTTGGCCAGGATGGTCTGGAACTCCTGACCTCGTGATCCACCTGCCTCAGCCTCCCAAAGTGC